ACATATAAAAGGTCCATTGGACCCTATAGTGGTAAAAGAGGGTACATTTTAATTTTTGTCTATTAGTTTCTAAATGTAGGGTCTATAGGGTCTATTGGACCTTTTAGTGGCAAATAAGGGTTAATTTTAGTTATTAATTATTATTTTTTAAATAAAGGTCCATTGGACCCTGTTGTGGTAAACAAGGGCTTATTTTAATTTTTGTCGATTGCATATTGTAAAAATATTTGTAGGGTCCAATGGACCCTGTAGTAGCAAAAATGGGTTAATTTTCATTTATGTATTTATATTTTTTTAAATTTCTAAATAGAGGGTCTACTGGACCCTGTATTAACAGATGAGGGGTTTATCTGTTACTTTTCAAATATATTTACGCAGGGTCCAGTAGACCGTTTAGTAGCAAATAAGGGTAATTTTTAGTTTTTATATTTGTATTTTTTTAAATTTAAATGTAGGGTCCACTGGACCCTGTAGTAACTAATAAGGGGTAATTTTCATTTCGGATTTTATTTTTTAAATATATTTTCAGGGTCCATTGGACCCGATAGTAGCAAAATAAGGGTTAATTTTCATTTTTGTCTATTATTTTTTAAATATAGGGTCCATTGGACCCTTTAGTGACAAATAAGGGTTAATTTCTGTTTTTGACCTTTATTTTCTAAATATACACATATACGAAAGGTCCATTGGACCCTACAGTGTCAAAAAGGGGTTATTCTTTATATTTGTATTTATATTTTTCTAAATTTAAACGTAGGTTCTACTGAACTCTCTGAAGTAACAGATGAGGCGTAATTTAAAATTTTTTCTATAATTTTTTAGGGTCCATTGGACCCTTTAGTGGCAAATAAGGGTTAATTTTAATTTGTGTCTATTTTTTTAAATTTACTGGGTCTATCAGACCCTGTAGTGACAGATAAGGGTCAATTATTAAATTTTTATCTTTATATATACCCATTTTTTTTTAAATATATAGATTTACAAATTGATTTTGAGAAAAACTAATATTTTCCAAAGAGACTATAACTAAGAGAGAGAGAGAGAGAGAGAATGAGAACAATGAAAAGATATTTGCAGATTACTTTTAGAAGGTGAACTTTCGAAAAGACCGCAAATCCCTAGTAATTTAGCTCTAGGTGGCAATGTTACAGGTACACCTGATTCATCGGTTTTCCGCAGGTAGAAGAGCAAAGATTTTCCTATCTCTAGATCGTGACCGATACCAAAATAGCATTCCACACCTATAGAAAAAATCATATCTCTATTACCAAAATCGGTTTTATTTCGAACTGTTATAATTCCTTTTTTTCAATATAATTTGTCAATTATCGAATCATAAAGTTATATACTTAAAAGTTTTTAGGTATATTTCAGAATTTGTTTTCTTTTAAAAACTGAGATTTTCTAAATTAATTATATAATAATATTTGTCATACTTTGAGGTTATGTATCTATATCAGTCCATTGATTAATTATAAAGGTTATGTTGGATTCAATTACGCAAAGTTATAACATAAACTTTAAGGTTATGTTAATGAAAAATTAAGATTAATAATCAATTTTAAGGTTATGTTAGCTTAAATATGAAAACAATTATTTTTGAAAATTATCCCCATATATATAATTTATAGTTCTTTCTATTTTGATATATATGTATAAGAAATAATTTCTTTTATAGCCTTTACTCTTTCTCTCTCTCTCTCTCTCTCTCTCTCACTCTCTCGTGATCTTTAACCCTTTTTTCTATTTCTAAATACCCCAGAATATCTTTAAGGGGGATTCTTAGTACAGGTAAATTTTTCCAAAATGATCCTTAACCTTACCCTATATGAGTTGAGTGCGTCCCCTCCATTAATAAATACAATATAAGTTGGTGTCAGCTCACTGCGAGATTTAAGACAGGGGGGTCGTCTTTTATAATATTTTCTTCATTTTCGCCTTTTAAAATTCAATCTCAAATGCACATCTTTTAAACACACAACTCTTAACTGCCATGTATAATATATAATCGATGTCCTTAAACCTTAAAGAAAAAAAGGAGCCTCTCTCTCTCTCTCTCTTCCTTTTTTGTTTATCCTTCCTGGAAAAATGATTGTCAAATTATATATTTTCCTCACTAAATCCCTCTATTTCTCTCTCTTTCTAACTCTTGCTCGAAATATATATATATATATCTCTCTTATATATATTTTATGGTTTACCGAAACTCATGGTGCGTTTATTAAGTATATGGTATATAATATAAGTATACCAAAAGAGAGAGGAAATTTTTCCTAATGGGAAAATTTATTATACCCCTCGTATATATATATAAAACCAAATAAAAATAGTACAAAAATTTTTTTTTTCCCTAAAATTCTGGTCGTTTAAAATTTCTCATTTATATATATATATATATGACTTTTCCGTGTGAGGAGAAAGTATATGGTTACAAGTATATTAATAAAAAAAAAATTTTAGTTTCACCAGCAGTGAATGAAAATATACCGAAAAAAAAAAATTCTTCATTTAAGAGGATTTTGCTTTAGTTTTAACGTTCATATTTTCCTATAAAATATCACGCAAAACGCAAATTCCTCTCATTTTAAGAGGATTATTATCTATTTAAAAATATTCCTCTTAAAATAAGAGGAAAATATTCTCCAATTAAGAGTAATATTCTTAATTTAAGATTCCTTTTATTTTAATGCAAATCATATTTTCCTCTAAAATAACACGCAAAAGATTTCCTATTACCTTAAGAGGATTATTCTCTATTTAAGAATATTCCTCTTAAATCAAGAGTAAAATACTTTCTGATTAAGAGTAATATTTTTGATTTAAGTGAATTCCTCTCATTTTAAGAGAATTATTCTCTATTTAAGAATATTCCTCTTAAAATAAGAGGAAAATATTCTCCGATTAAGAGTAATATTCTTAATTTAAGATTCCTTTTATTTTAATGCAAATCATATTTTCCTCTAAAATAACACGCAAAAGATTTCCTATTACTTTAAGAGGATTATTCTCTATTTAAGAATATTCCTCTTATTTTAAGAGAATTTTCGTTAGAGTAATTTTCCTCTATTTTCAAGAATATTTTTTTCTCGGTGTATAATTATAATTATTATGTATTATTATTTATTATTATTATTATTATTATTATTATTTATTATTATTATTATTATTATTATTATTATTATTATTATTATTATTATTATTATTATTATTATGTATTATTATTTATTATTATTATTATTATTATTATTATTATTATTATTATTATTAGAATTCAAAATTTAACGTATAATTAAAATATTCATTGTTAAAAAAAGTTTATACTATTCACAAATCTATTTGGTTTATCAACAAAAATTTGCTTTATAACATAACCTCAAAATTCCTAACCAGTACTGAATTTTTTGTTTTTATTTAAAAAAAAAAGTTTTCTACGCATTCATTTTGTATTTTTTTTTAAACGAAAAAAAATAATAAACTAATATATAGTAAAACACGATCTTGGTTAGAAATTTAAGGTTATGTTATAAAGTATAGTTTCTTTCAAAAATTGTAACAAATAATTTATAATAATATAATTTTTTTTTTTTTGTTTGCAATTGTTAAAAAAAAATTTGAAACAGTTGAAAACAAGTTTGAAACAATATTGGAAACAAGTTTAAAATTATATATATATATATATGACACGTACAAGTTCTATAAATATTAAGAAATATATAAGTTTTGAATTTGTTAGAAACAAGTTTGCAATTAATTAAAACAAGTTCAAAAAAGTTTGAAAGAAATTTGAAATTTTTTCAAATATGTTTTAAACTATTTGGAATATGTTCGAAACAAGTTAGAAATTGTTTAATTAAAACATCTTGAGGCTATATAGTTTGAAAACAGTTGCAAACAAGTCGGAAACATTTTAAAATAATTTTCAAACTATTCGGAACAAATTCAAAGCAGTTTGGAAATGCGCTTAATTTTATTTGAAACAAGTTCGAATAAGTAATTGAAAACAAGTTCATAATTGTATGAAACAAGTTCTACATATTTAAAAATAAATTTTGAATTTCTTAGAAACATTAAAACAATTATTGGAAATAATGTTTAAATTTGTTAAATTAGGATTTTTTAAAACAAGTTAGAAACTGTTGGAAACAAATTTAAAATTGTTTAAAACAAGTTAGGAACTGTTCGGAACTGTTAGAAACAATTAAGTTTGCAATTTTTTGAAACTATTTAAAAATTATCATTGTTATTATTATTTATAGTAGTCGTAGTAAAATTTATTATTATAATTATAATTTTAATTTTAATTATTATTGTTATTATTATTATTATTATTATTATTATTATTATTATTATTGTAATGAAAAGACACAAGTAAATAGGAAAGGTGTAATGTAAAAAAATTTACAAAGCAATTAATTTATATAATTATAAAACTCATATATTTAACGAATTTCTTATAATATATAAATATATATAGTTGAATAATTTATTTACAAAAGGCACTGGCACGCGGAATTTTTTCAATGAAAGACTCTTTTATCCGATTATTATTATTATCTCCTATTTTTCTCTTTTTCTCTCTCTCAATATATATATATATATAAATATTAAAATCTTGACACTGAATCGAGTCACGTGTGTGTGTATTATATAATAATAATTTTTATAATAAAAAAAAAGTCGCTCACATTCATGGCGTACTTTTTTTTGAGCACATCGGTATATATATATATAAATTTCTACATATAAAAGGCACTTTTGTGTATACATCACGCGCTCGATCATTTCTTTTCTTATTTTTCTTGACATTCAAAAAAAAAAAAAGATTTTAAAAAAGCTCAATCAAAAAAAAAAAAAAAAAAATGGTACAATTTTTGAAAAGAGAATATTTTTTTAAGCCAAATATACTTTATTGTATATAAAAAAAAAAATATATATATATATGTATAAATAATATGTGTTATATATTTTATATACATATATAGATATTATTTACAAATATATAATAATAATGTACCATTTTTTTTTCTTTTTTTTTTTTTGGGCTGAGAAATATTATTTTTATTACATTATTTTTTTTTTCGAAAATGAAAAATGTATTTTTACATTATTAATAAAATATATATGAATTTTTTCCGCCGGAAATTGTTTTTTCCCAGAGGGATTTTTTTTTTTTTTTTTTTTTTTTGACTAGATCACAGTTGGTGGAACAGCCGATGGAGGTTTTCCTCTCTTTCAGAATACACATATATATTTTTTATATGTACAGTCTTTTATGGAATTCTGTAACAAAAAAGAGAAATAGATATTTAGTTATATATTCGATATTTAAAATTTTGTTTTTAAATTATTTTTTATAATAATAATAATTTCATTTCATTTTCATATTTTATTATATTTTATTACATTATATTATATAAGTTACGTTTTAAATATTTTTTGGCAAATTAAAAATTTTTTCTCCAAGGAGTAAATACAAATTTTAGAAAAAAGAAAAAAACGAGTTGAATTTTTTTTCTCGATAAAATAAAATCCCGAAACATCGACACAGGTAGGTATAAAATGCAAGAATAAGTTTTCAAGGGATGATTTTTCAGGTAAGGGCGATTCTCCTTCTCTCTCATTTTTAAAAAAGAGAGACAGAGAGAGAGAGAAAGAGTCAAAGAATAGCATACCGGTTCGAAAAACCCGACAAAGGGGGCTGGAATATCCTGAAAGATGCATTCAGGTTAAACTCAGCGCGCGAGACAAAATCGTATATATATATATATATATATATACGATATACAACTATGGTATGTGTAAGAGTAAGGAGAGCCCTTTAAAAAAAAAAAAAAAAAAAAAAAAAATCGGTGGGAGGGGATTCAACGAAAACTGGAAAGATTACGCTTTTGCCCGACTAAAGGCGAGCCATTGCGTTTTAAAAGCGTTTGGGTGGACATTTCTCTCTCTCTCCTTCGTTCGGTTCACCTTTAATGTCCCCAAGATCGTTGAACGTTTTCAAGGTCCCCCGAAAAATGGTCTCTCTCTTTCTCTCCTAACGCGGAAATAACTCCTAATTATCTCTAAACCATTAATTTCGTTCGGAAGCCGCCCTTCGAGTTTTATCATTATTATATGTCATTTCTCACCCCCCCCCCTTCGCCTCTGTCAATTCTTTTTTTTCGAAGGAAACTGAAATTTTCAAAGTTGGAAAAGGGACATTAAAATAAAAATGGGCGATTTTCCGGGAAATTAATTTCATTTTCCATTTTTTTTCCTTAAATTTTTTATTTAAATCATCTTTTTTTCAGTGTAATTCAATTTTTTTTTAATTTTATTGTACGATATTGTACTGTATTGTACCGAATTGTACCGTATTGTACCGAATTGTACTGTATTGTATTGTACCGAATTGTACTGTACTGTATTGTACCGAATTGTACTGTATTGTATTGTACCGAATTGTACCGTATTGCACTGAATTGTACTGTATTGTACCGAATTGTACTGTTTTGTACCGTACTGTACTGAATTGTACTGTATTGTATTGTACCGAATTGTACTGTATTGTACCGTACTGTACTTAATTGTATTGTACCGAATTGTACCGTATTGCACTGAATTTTACTGTATTGTACCGAATTGTACTGTATTGTATTGTACTGTATTGTATTGTACTGTATTGTATTGTACTGTATTGTATTGTACTGTATTGTATTGTACCGAATTGTACCGTATTCCACTGAATTATACTGTATTGTATTGTACTGTATTGTAATTGCAACGTTTCGAATATATTTTTATTTTAATTAATTACCATTGCTGTTATTCAATTAAAAATTAATAATTTACCAAAACTATTTATTTACACCTCTTTCCCAATTGAGAATAATTTTTTTACATTGAGAAAAAATCCCCCCCGGGTGCCAGGAATCGAACCCTGATTTTTTTGTCGCGAATCCAACGCCCTAACCACTAGGCTACGAAAGCCACATTAAAAATTTTCTACTCATTCTTCACTAATTTTACCAATACCTTCCGGATAATTATTCAAAAAAAAAAAAAAAAAAAAAAAAAAAACCCTAATTACAATTGCCAACTCAAATCAATTGCTTCTCAATTTTCCAAATGCAAATAATAAAAATTAATTATAATTTAATTTAAAAAAAAAATAAACATTTTTTTTTATTAATTTGAATAATTCGAAAAATATGAATTGAATTTTTGTCGCATGGACCAAGGGGATAAAGAGGGGCAGAAAAAAAGAAGAAGAAGAATAAAAAAAAGAATGAGAGAGAGAGAGAGAGAGAGAGAGAGAGAGAGAGAGAGAGAGAGAGAGAGAGAGAGAGAGAGAGAAGAGGGATGTGAGGAAAAACGCATAGAGAGCAAATATGAAAAAGTGAAAGAAATCCCAAGGCACAAAAGCGTGTTCGTTTCTGAAATGCATGTACATATATATATGCGTTGCCCTCTTCTGAATGGAGTCTACATTCTGAATGGTTCCCTGAGCTTCAGCGAGGGGTCGCGCCATTGTTAAGGGCAAGGTCACAAATCTAGTCAGAAAATATTTCTTTGGGCTTCCTCCGCGTTATATATATATATATATATACATACATACATAGAAAATCGTATAGAGAAACCCACAGACAAACTGGCGCTTAAATTCACTATTTACTTTCAATAATAGCGAAAAAAGAAGATATATGACCGAGAGAAAGAGAGAGAAAAATATGAAAAGATGCCAAAAAAAGGTATATAATGACTCCAAGAGATAAGAAAAATTGTGGTCCAGATTCTTATACAATTTTGTGGTCACACTGAATATAAAACAATTTTCCCTTTTGTAAATTTTTTTTTTTTCCAAACCATTTATGAAATAGAGGGGGGGGGGTTTTATTAGGTCTTAAATTCGGAAAGCGAAAAAACCCTCTATTAATTAGAAGGAGAATTTTTCAGAATTAACCTGTGTCAAATTTGGGGTAATTTTTCTGTATATACAAAATTTTAATTCATTCAAATCAGTTTCAATATGAACCCATTAGTTTGTTTTTCATTATATTTTTCATATAGTTTGAACCCTGAATTGAATGTGAATCATTTTTTTTTAATACCAAATTTTTGAAAAATTTAAACCAAATAAAATTTTAACTAAAAAATTATGGCAAAAATTTTTCACTAAATAATCCGTTAGAAATTTTTAAAGCCATATTTTGAAAGCTTATCAACAAATGGAACTGTTTTCTAAATTTGGGAATAATGGTTTCTCTAATGGTAGTACTTTTTAAGCTTCCGTAATATTTTTTAAACATCCGTAGTACTTTTTCAAGCCTCCGTAGTATTTTTTAAACATCCGTAGTACTTTTTTAAGCCTCCGTAGTATTTTTTAAACATCCGTAGTGCTTTTTCAAGCCTCCGTTGTTGTAAAAATTTCTAATTTCAATCCGTAATTGCTACTTTGAATTATTTCAACTTGAACAAAAAATTTACAAACCAAAAAAGAATTTAAAGTAAAATTTCCAAAAAAAAACTGATAATTTCTTAGCCGAAAAAGGAATTTAAATGTTTCTAATTTTGAAATAAACCATTATTTACCAAAATTCAATAAACAGTATGTTTCAACAAGAAAAAAATATTTATCAAAATCAATTTTCAAAAAAATATTAGTAAATTTGAATTTTTCAATACCTGTTAGAGAGGCGGAAGTCAAACTCCCAATAATGAAACTTCCTCATCATCATCCTTGGCTCTGCTGCCACCAGGAGATGCAATCCAGTAATTCCTCATCCTCAGGACTTGTTGGCTCATACATATCATATGTATCGGACGGTGCAACATACAACGTCACCGATGAACTGGTTCCATAACCTTGACTACCAGCTGACGATGCCTCCGATACAAAACTTGGCGTTGGCGATGCACTCGATGCCTCTGAGCATGGTGTTGCTGCATAACCAGGACTCGATGGATTTTGTCTCATATTATGATGCTGCTGATGCTGCTGACTATGATGATGATGATGATGATTATGACTATAATGTCCACTAATATCACTACCATGTTCACTTGGTGCATGTAGTCTCATTTCAATTGGTGAATGTTGTTGATTCGATGAATTTGGTGACGATGATAAAATTGATGTTGATGCATCAATTTCCGAACCATCTTGATCGTCTAATAATAATTGTAAACTTCTTATATATTCAACTGCCATTCTTAATGTTTCAACTTTAGAGAGTTTTTTACTACCGGCACGAGCACCACCATGTGTACCCGCTGTATTACCACCCAATGCCTGTGCAACACTTTGCGGTATATGCTGACGTAATTTTGCAAATCCATTGTTCACTTGTTTCACTCGATTACGTTCACGTGCATTGCGACGTGCAACTGATGCCGGTTGATGTACTGTACCATAGGGTGTTGTTTGATACATTTTTGTACGTTTATTATTACAATTTTGCTGCTGCTGCTGCTGCTGTTGTTGTTGCTGCTGCTGTTGTAGAGCAATTTTCACATCCGTACCTGTTGCCAATGTACCAGTTGATACAATAACATTGCCACGATGAATTTGTTGCTGTGATACATTATTTACAGAAACAGGCACAAGTCCATGATGACGAATATGTTGTTGAGTCAACATTATTGGTAAAACAATGCTCTCTTTTTTCACTAGGGTCATATCACACTAATTTCTTCGTCTAAAATTCACTTTTTATGTAAAAAAAAAAATTTTGGTAAAAAATTTCCAAAATTTTCTGTTAAAATTTCCGAAAAAAAAAAATCGATGAACAAAAATCACTGTTTGTCACAAGGGATTAAAATATCAATATAAGAATCGATATTAACGATTTTTTTTTTTTTTTTGCTTATATTGGGAATACTTGATGTACACGGTACGACCGTGGCTCCCGAAATGCCTTGCTGAAGAGGGTTCGGGGTCATTTATAGACGGGCGGGCACGCGCCGCTCCCCACCATTGGGTTTTACAATATGGGCCCTATGCCCCTCGTGCTTCCTTTATGTGTGTGTGTGTGTGTGTGTGTCTGTGTGTTAGTTGTTACCCCTCTTTTGGAAGCTTCTTCTTCCAGTACCCAACTCCCCCACCATTTTGCACGTAGCGTGCTTATAGCCCTTCCGAGATTCTCATCTCGAAGTGAATTCACATATATACATATATATAGAGTGCTGGTCCACCAGTTTTCAAACGGCACGCGACAACAACCTTCTCTCCCCTCCCCCTTTCATCTTTTTCTGTCTCCTTTTTTTTTTTTTTTTTTTAATATAAAAATTTCTTTTATAAAAATTATAAAAATTTTGAAATTCTTTGAAATTTAATAATAACAAACCACTTTTTTTCCGCCTCGTTTTTTTTTATCTCCCACTTCTTTTTTTTTTAATATAAAACTTTGAAAAAATTATAAAATGTGTAGGAAATAATTTGAAATTTGATAATAATTTATTATTAATTTTGAAATTTAAAAATAATTTATTATCATTAAATTTTGAAATTTCATGATAAATTATTATTAAATTTCAAATTATTTCGAACATTTTTTTCAATTTTTATAATAATAATAATAATAATAATAATAATAATAATAATAATAATAATAATAATAATAATAATAATAATAATAATAATAATAATAATAATATTAATAATAATAATAATATTAATAATAATAATAATATTAATAATAAAACACGGAAAAAAATCTTTACCTGAAACAAAGATAAGTTTCACTAGAACAGCGATATCTCTAGAATAGCGAAAACTTTCGTTGTTATAATGAAGCATATATCACTTCTGTTTCAGGTAAAGATTTTTTTCCGTGTAATAATTATAATTATAATTAAAATATAATAATAAAATTAATAGTTTTTTTTCTATTATTTTTCAACTTTGTTTAAAACTATTTCAAACTAGTCTCAACAAATTTCAATTAAACAAATTCAAACTTGTCTTTAATTATGTTTCGAACTTGTACCAAATATATAGTTTTAACCATGTCGCAAAAACAAGTTCAAATCTGTTTTCTATATACTATTTCAAATTTGTCTTAAACAATTTGCAAACTTGTTTTAAATTACAAATTCAAATTTGTTTCCAACTGCTTTGTACTTGTCTCAAACTATTTGGAACATGTTCGAAACAATCAGAATTAAACAAATTCAAAACTTGTTTCCAACTGCTTTGAACTAGTTCCAATTAGTTTCGTAATACTTATTGTTTTCAACTATTTCGAACTAGTTCCAATTAGTTTCGTACTTGTTTTCAACTATTTTGAATTAGTTCCAATTAGTTTCGTACTTGTTTCCAACTATATTTGGAACAAGTTCGAAAAAGTTTGAAACAAGTTTGAATTTGTTTAATTCTGACTGTTTCGAACATTTTCCAAATAGTTTAAGACAAGTACAAAACTGATTAGAACTAGTTTGAAACAGTTAGATACTGTTTAATTCTGTCTGTTGCGAACATGTTCCAAATAGTTTGAAACAAGTAGGAAAACTACTTGGGACTAGTATAAAACTATTTGGGACAAGTACGAAAATACTTTGGAACAAGTTCAAAGCAGCTGGAAACAAGTTTGAATTTGTTTAATTCAGACTGTTTCGAACATGTTCCAAATAGTTTGAAACAAGTACAAAACTAATTGGAACTAGTTCGAAATAATTGGAAACAAGTACAAAACTAATTGGAATTAGTTCGAAATAGTTGAAAACAAGTACGAAACTAATTGCGGAACTAGTTCGAAACAGTTGGGAACAAGTTAGAATTTGTTTAATTTCATTTTATTTCGAACATGTTCCAAATAGTTTGAAACAAGTACAAAACAGTTGGAAACAAGTTTGAATTTGTTTAATTAAAACATCTTGAGACAAGTTTGAAACAATTGCAAACAAGTTATGGAAACACTTTAAAACAAGTTTCAAAATATTTGGAACAAATTCAAAGCAGTGGGAAATGCGCTTAAATGTATTTTTATTTGAAACAATGTTCAAAGCAGTTGGAAACAAGTTTGTAATTGTTTGAAACAAAAGTGCGGAATACTTATAAAACTGTTTAATATATATTATATTAGAACAAGTTGGAACAAGTTTGCAATTGTTCGAAATAATTGAAAAGCAAGTTTGAAAATATTTGTAACAAGTTTCAAAAACTATTTGCAAGAAGTTCGAAGCAGTTGAAAACAAGTTATAGCTGTATATTTATAATATTGAATGAAGTTTGGAATTGTTTAATACAAGTTCGAAACTGATTGGAATAATTTTAAAACTGATTGGAACTAGTTTAAAATTGTTTAAAACACGTTTAAAGCCATTAAAAATGTTTTCAATTAAAAACAAGTATTTTTAAATATATTTTTATACAAAACAATCTAAATTTAAATATCAGTTTTAGATTGTATATATAAAACAAGTTGAAAATTAAAAAACAATATAAATTCTTAAATAAAGCAAAAAAAAAAAAATCTTTTGAATATAAAAATTTGCAAATTAGAATCAAACGGATCAACAGTTTTGTTTTGAATTAAAATAGACGTATGCTTACATGCATATATATATATGTATATGTGCTTGTATACAGGTATATAATATGAATTAAGAAACGTGAGTCTAACGAGGTCTAGGGTTGTTGCAACCTAAAACGGGGTCGTAAAATGTTTCCATCCAAGTCGTAAAACTCTAGTGAGTTGAAATTTGACGAGGTCATATTGTTGACCCTCCATCGTTTTTGATTCTTTTCGGTCTGCTTTTTTTTATGGGTTGACTTTATTCCTTATTCAAAATGATTTGTTTCTTTTGAAAAAAAAAAAATCTTTTTTAAACATCCCTCCCCCCACCCCTCCCTAAAAAAAGCGTCTTTGTCCATATATGGGGATTTGACTTGTAGTTAGTGCGCGAGCGGCAATAAAAAAAAAAAGGTTTTAATGTTTCTTTTTTTCTCCTCCTTTTATCGTCTTCTTATATATGTATATATATATATATATATATATTCATTTGCGATTTTTCAAGACCTTATAAATATTTTGTGGGGTAGTATGCGGTTCTCACGTAATTTTATTTTAAAGAGAGAAAAAAAATAAGTAATATTTTTTTTTTTTTGGCAAGCGAAGAATATTATTATACTTGTTTTGGGGTTGTGAGGTGTATAAAGTCGACGACCCTTTAAAATTAAGTCGCTGTATTTAAAATAAAATACATATATTTTATATATAATAATTTTGTGAAAAAAAAATTTATTTCACTCGACATGGGCAGTCAAATGTTTTTATTATCAGTTTTATGTAGTTTATTGTGTATTATTATATATATATTTTATGTTTAGTATAGTAAAGGGGAAGTGTATTATACACATAGAAAATATTAATTCATTTTTTTTTTTTTTTGAATTAATTAGAATTTTTTTACTATTGAAGCTGAATTGAAACATTCAGATTCAAAATTTTTACTTCTTAACTTATACAGTATTCATATATATTCATCTAAACACTTATTGTTTCAGATAATTATACAAACTTGTTTTCAACTGCGCTTTGAATTTATTTCAAATAGTTCGAAACTTGTTTTAAAGTATTTCCAACTGTTTTGAAATTGTTTCAATTAGTTTCGTATATACTTGTCTCAAACTATTTGGAACATGTTCGAAACAGTTAGAATTAAACAAATTCAAAACTTGTTTCCAACTGCTTTGAACTAGTTCCAATTAGTTTCGTATACTTATTGTTTTCAACTATTTCGAACTAGTTCCAATTAGTTTCGTACTTGTTTTCAACTATTTTGAACTAGTTCCAATTAGTTTCGTACTTGTTTAATTCTGACTCTTTCGAACATATTCCAAATAGTTTGAGACAAGTACGAAACTAATTGCAACTAGTTTGAAACAAACGGAATTAAACAAATTCAAAACTTGTTTCCAACTGCTTTGAACTAGTTCCAATTAGTTTCGTACTTGTTTCCAACTACTTTGGAACAAGTTCGAAGAAGTTGGAAACAATTTTGAATTTGTTTAATTCTGACTGTTTCGAACATGTTTCAAATAGTTTGAGACAAGTACGAAACTAATTGGAACTAGTTTGAAACAAACATAATTAAACAAATTCAAAACTTGTTTCCAACTGCTTTGAACTAGTTCCAATTAGTTTCGTACTTGTTTCCAACTACTTTGGAACAAGTTCGAAGAAGTTGGAAACAATTTTGAATTTGTTTAATTCTGACTGTTTCGAACATGTTTCAAATAGTTTGAGACAAGTACGAAACTAATTGGAACTAGTTTGAAACAAACATAATTAAACGAATTCTAACTTGTTTCTAACTGTTTTGAACTAGTTCCAAGTAGTTTCATACTTGTTTCCGCAACTATTTTGAACTAGTTCCAATTAGTTTCGTACTTGTCTCAAACAAATTTGGAACATGTTCAAAAACATAGTCATAATTAAATAAATTCAAACATGTTTCCAACTTGTTCTAAATAGTTTCGTACTTGTCACAAACCATTTGGAACATGTTCGAAACAAACAGTTTCAAACCAATTCTAACTTATTTTTAATTGTTTCGAACTTGTTTCAAACAGTTTTGTACTTGTCTAAAACTATATATATATATATATATAATGTTCGAAACTGACAGAATCAAATTTTTCAACAAAAATAAATTTTACCCATTATTGCAGTAAATAAATAAATAAAAAAAAATTTGTAAAAATTTTTGAGGAGTACGAACATGAGAAGCACTGCGTGCGTATATATATATATATATATGAATCGAGAGGTCCACACGTATCGCGCGCGACTTTGCGTCCATGGAACAAAATTCGAACAGTTACCGCGGCAGCAAAGAAGAAGTATAGAAGAAGAAAAAAAAAGCTGGTCCACATTCTCACAGGGGTGGGATGAAATGAAGGGCATTAAGGGGGGTGGGTGGGAAGGGAGTAAGGGGAAGACGAGTCTCGTGAGAGATATTGCCGCTATGAGAAGAGTTGAAGGAGTGGAGGAGGTAGGGACTTTTAGTGACGGCAGTAGCAGCACTGACCCATGGAGTAGTGGGGGATGAGGGGGGGAGAGAGAGAGAGTAAGTCTGCCGAGACGCGAGCCGTAATCCCCTTCTCCGCTTCGTGGCGCACGCCGTTTTTCTCCCCCCCCCCCTCCTCCTTCTCTCACTCTAAAGTCGCTGCTTCTTGATATGTATTGGGGCCCCATGCCCAGTGTAGTTGGCGGCGGCACCAGCAGCAACGGCAGCAACAGCAACTGTACACGCGAGCCAGACGCGCGCGCCACCGTACGTGCCTCGATGCATATATATATACTTATTGCATTTGTGTGCGTACAGGCGTAAAAGAATCCTAACACATATGAATTCCCCAACTTGGAACAGGTATATATATATATATATATATATATATGTGCCATGTTCTCCTCATCGCAACTTCTCCTGCAAAATTCCCTTTTACATCCAAACGCAATATGAGCCAGTCGACGTTCGCATGCATGAAAAATACAAATTTGGCCCCCGGGCAATCGCATGTATTCCCTGGAGTTGCAATATAATAATAATAATAATAAACAATGATGTTTAATTATTATGAACGAATTTAATAAATACATAGAGGAGAGTGGTCAACAATGGGCCACTTCTTTTTTTAATTTCTATATTTATAATATTATATAGGTATAAATAGAAAATAAAAATTAATTATAATTAAAATTAAAATAAAAATTATTAATCTATTCAAATATATTTCGCAATTGTTAAAAAACCATTAAATATAGATGTAATACAAAAAAATTGCGGGAAAAAATTTCTTTCTATTTTGATTGGCCGCATATTGTCACGTGACTGAAAAAATGGCCGCCATCGATAAGAAACAGCTGATCTCTTTCGTATTTCAATATTTTACTCTCTAAAACTGAATTGGTAAAAATGTTAACTAATTTAAATTAGTAACTCACTTTTTTGCTTTAGAATTAGTTAAATTTTACTACAATTGTTAGTGAAAGTTATACTAATAATTAGTAAAAAATTTTACTAATTTTAAAGCAAAAAGTGAGTCACTAATTTAAATTAATAAACAATTTTACTAATTCAGATTTAGAGAGTGAATACAAACAAAAATAATTTAAAACATATAGTATAATATTTCAAAATTACATAACACTACTACATCGCAGTGTTTTTTTTATCATAACCTAAAAATTCTGAAATTTTTTTTGTTTCTAATTAAAATACCTATATATATATATTTTGAAGAAATAAAAATTTTAATTTCAAAAAATTAATCTCTCTTCCAAAAATATATATTTATTATTATTATTATTACTGTACTAATTAACACTCGCGATGAAGAATTTCACAATTTCTGACCCTAAAAAAAGATAATGTCTCAATTTTATATAAGAATTCCGAAGCTTGTGATTGATTTCAAAAACATTATTACCATAAGCTTTCGCATCCATCAAAGTGGGACCCATCGATATTCTCGCACTAAAGGAATGCCTATAACGGAAACAAAAGAAAATGCTAATTTCAAAAGACAACTTCATTATATATATATATTAATAGGAATTAGAATAAATGTTTCCTCTTGCCAAAAGAATTCATATTGTATATAAATTTTTGGCGATTGCCGATAAAATAGTTGGCTATTTTTTTTCTCTTTATCTTTAAAAATTATATTTTTGTTTTCTCAATGTTTATTTGTTATGATTTTATTATTATTATTATTATTATTTAAATTTCTAACGATTATTATAATAAATTATTATTCATCAAGAAGGCCGAAAAATAATATATTATTAATCTTACTATTATTATTTTTAGTGTAATCATTATTATTATTATTATTATTATTATTATTATTATTATTATTATTATTATTATTATTATTATTATTATTATTATTATTATTATTAATATATTTTGTTTTTATAGAGACATATTAAAACACAGAGTTTAACCGCAAGAAAATTTAAGGGGCGAGTGATGAAATATTTTTCCGATTGTTCCAAAAAAAAGTTGAGAAGGAAACTGTCAGTCAAGTTAAAACCAACATTTTAAAATATATACTAAATAAGACACAAAAATGACACTAAATGCCGATCATGGATTTTAGGCGATTTGTGTTGCGAACGGTTCAAAGAGGTTTAACATTTTATTTTTTTGGGTTGAAAAAAAAAAAATTCTTAAACAACGTTATAAAACTATCATAAACATAAACTATAATTTTTTTATATATCTCTTATTTTATTTTTTGTATATATATATATATACACAAAATTTTATGATCATTCTCGCGCATATCTTTACACGCGCACGATGACGAAATGATGCTGCGTGAAAGAGAAAAACCAAAACCAAAAAAAAAAAAAAAAAAAAAGGAAAGAAAGAGCAAAATGAGGGTTTCTCTGTGGAAAATCGTACCAAGAAGGGTCTCTCTCTCTCTCTTTCACTCTCGACACTTTGGATAATGGTGGTACCTGCACTTTTGCGGTTGGAAGATTTGTCGCGCAGCAAGGAACTCGTTGTCATGTCGGTACTTAAAGAGAATTCCCATTGCCTTGAAAACTTATAAACCCTGATGCTCAAATGCCTATACATAATAATAATAATAATAATAATAATAAAATATATATATATATATATACCGATGAAAGAGGACTCAACACCAAAAGAAAACCAGACCATTGGAATAATATATAGAGAGAGAAAACGAGCGGGTTGACAATAATAAAAATAATGGTATAAATAGTGGATGTTTGCGAAATTTCAAAAATGAAAATATGAGAGTCATCCTCCGAGAAAGAAACCGCGCTCATATACTATATATATTCCAAGTGCGGTGACCAATGTACCTTTACAATTGTATATCAAAAGAGAAAGAAAGAAAGAAAGAAGGAAAAAAAGGGATATAACTTGAAAAATTTCTCGCACTCTTGCCAAAAATTTAGTGATGCTCTCAAGAATTTCATTTTTTTTTTAACCTCGAGAAATCGTGAAATTCCATTAGTTACTGATGAATGGTGTGTTATAGAATTTTATTGATCATCGCGCGCGCTTTCGCCATGTAAAATTTCAAATTTGTAACGTGTGACAATTTTTTTTTTTTTTTTTTTTTTTTTTTGAAAAATGATCGATATAAAAATTGAAAATATTTTGGAATAAAGAGCATAACGTTATGGAATTTATTTTTGACTGTGTGTGTGAGATTATTATTATTATTATTATGATAGTTACTATTATTATTGTTATTATTAATATTATTATTATTACTACTATTTTCATTATTATTATTACTACTATTTTCATTATTATTATCACTACTATTATTTTACTATTACTGTTACTACTACTACTATTTACTACTATTATTATTACTACTATACTATTGTTACTAATACAATTTTTACTACGACTATTGTTACTGCTACTACTATTAATACTATACTATTACTATACTGCTACTTCTACTATTGTTTTACTATTATTACTACTATTATTTTACTATTACTACTATTACTACTACAACTATTTCTGTTATTGTTACTACTATTATTACTATATACTATTACTACTACTATTATTTTACTATTATTGTTACTACTATTACTATTTGTTACTACTACTATTTCTGTTATTGTTACTACTATTATTACTACTATTACTATTATTATTGTTAGTACTATTTACTACAACTACTACTACCACCACCTATACTAAATACTGATTCTACGTTACTATAATTCTTTTGAATTATAAAAAAAAAAAATTACGATTGACTTTTCTAATAATTTTCAGCAAATACGATTTGGTTTTCTATAAATAACCCTTTTTTCTGCATCAGAAGCTCCGCCAACACCTGAAATAAACAATACATTTAGAAAGTAAGAAATAAAAAAAAAATTATGGAAAATAGAAAAACTTACCCGATACGTCCATTTTTTGCAACAAGTGATCCGTCACCTAAAAAATAAAAAAATAAATATCAGTAATAAAATACAGATTAAAGAAAAAAAAAGCTGTATACCTTTATCTTTATTGAATTGATTCTGCACATTTGATTCCTAAATTTGCCATGATACGATATATATTTCTTTACTCCAAAAATAAGTCTACTACTCCGAGTGTGTGTGTAATATCCGCTTCCATCCATCTGAAACAAAAACTAATTCATTATCAGTAAATGAAAAAAAAAATAAAATTACTTACCTATAATAATTAAACTGAATTAAAGTTGGGGTGCCGCCATGACAGTTAAGCTCACGAAGCCAGGGCCGTAGTTTGAATTTTCTCTGGGGTACTATTGTACCCCAGTTGCGTCATCTAGAGTGAAAATAATTAAATCAGAAGATAAATAAGAAGAAATGGTAAAATATGTAAAGGAAACAAAAATTATTATTATTATTATTACACAAAGTTTTGGTATTATAATACAGTCCCATTGAAATATATATATATATATATATATATATATATACAATTTGTGAAGTAATGCTTAACAGACCGTTTAGCATAAATGCTAAGAAGGGATCTCTCCATAGGAATTAGTGTAATTTTGCATATACGACGAAAAGAAAAACGAAGGACAGAGAAAATACGACCTTACCGAAAAAGGGAATAGTGGGCGGGGTGGGGGTGAAAGGGGGGAAGATGTGCGACAGGGGCAGGACGTTGTCTTGAACTGGACACCCCGTCGTGTGCCATAAATGACAAATCTGTTTAACCGTAAAGTATATAAGGTACCCAAGATAGAGAGAGAGAGAGAGAGAGAGAGGCGTTGTCGTCGCTGGTCAGTAACCAAAAATAAAAAAAAAAAAGATTTCTCGCAACAAGTGTATACCAAGAGTTGCAAGTGTAAAAGCTTAACACACTATATCCATAAAATAAATAATAAACCGTCCCCCATAGAACAATACATTTATATATATGTATATAGCATAGGACAAAATTTTTCTTTTTAAAATAGATATACAAAAATTTTGATATTGTCTATAGATAAAGCAAAATTTTTTTTTTTCTTCTCCTTTTATTTTATATTTTGTATATCTACTTTTTTTCCTAGTTTTTGTATCATAAAATTTATTGCCGGTTTTTGGTAAATATACATATATATGTTTATATGTGTGAAATTTTTTTTACTAGCTTAATACACATTTATTGAGACGCGGTTTTAAAATATATTTCATGATTTCATCTTATTGGAGTACTAAAAATACTTTTTTTTACTTCTGTATACATATATTTTACATAATTTATTTTTATTTCATTACCTATATTATTTTTACTACTATTATTATTATTATTTTTATTAGTATTATTATTATTATTATTTTATTATTATTTTTATTATTATCATTATTATTATTATATTATTATTTTTATGTATATTAAATTAAACCTATTTTTTTTTCTAATTCAATTTCTGCGAATATATAATTAAAAAATTTTGCAGTTTTCCCTTTTTTTTAACAATAACAATAATATATAAAAATTATGGAAACATTGTTAATAATATACATTGCAAACACGTATATATACACCTGACAACGAAATAAAGAAAATTATCTTTGGTTACAAAAAAAAAAAAAAAAAATTTTTTTTCCATTTCATCCTGTTTCTATTTATTTATATTTGTTAAAAACTTGTTGCAGTAATGATTCATAAATATTCATGAGAAAGTATATATATATATATATATATATATATATATATATAATGCCATGTGTCGCGCGTGTGCCTCGTCCGGGATCATTTAATAAAAATAGGCTGAAAAAAATTAACCAAAAAAAAGAAAGAAAAAAAAAAAAAAAAAAAGATTGAAAGCACGCGACTTGAAAATATCGGAAAATAAAAAAGACCAATATAATAACGTTTTTATATATGTATATATAATGAAAAATCAAATCGTAATAAAATTTTAATTTTACTAGGTTATGTTAAATTTAAGTTCACTTTTACAAGTAATGCCGGTAAAGTAGAATAATGTATATTATCTTTTAGGCGGTAAATTTTGAAATTAATTTAAAGTATATATATATGTATTTCTAATTTTAACAATCGTTAACATAACCTACAAATTCTTTATTGTGATTAAAGTTATAGGCTTAGAACCACAATAATGGTATTAAAAATATAATAATAATAATAACAAAAATTATTATTATTATTATTATTATTATTATTATTATTATTATTATTATTATTATTATTATTATTATTATTATTATGATTATATATTATTAATACTATTAATAATAATTTTAATATGTTTACATTATACAGCAACGTTATTATTGCAACTCAATAAATTCGAAACCTACATGGAAATATAAGTTAAGAAAAAAAAAAAAAATATACTATAAAAATATTTATAATATTTATATAATTCAAAAAATAAAAGTTTCCCACGCTGCCCTTTAAGTATATATATATATATAAAGAAAACAAAAAAAAAATTAAAAATTTCCATAATTGAAAGTATATAAATAAAAAAATTTTCATTTTCATATAAATATATATACAATATAAAATTATGAATGAATCATCATCATTAAGTTTCCAACTAAATTGGCAGATGTTTCACTATGGGGGGGGGGGATTTTTCCGATTTGTTATCGAACACGTTTTGTCGTCGCACTCGCGCGCGATATATCGTTATGGATAATCTGTATAACTATATATATATATATATATATATATATATAGAAATGTGTGTTCGTGTGCGGAATCCGTTGCTCGATTCTGATCGTCTCGTCTCGTATATAGGATTCGAGGAAAAATTCAAAAAAAAAAAAAAAAGAAAAAAAGAAAAAAATCCAATGATAAAAACTGGCAAGGACGAACGCGTATAGAAATGTTTGCCTTTCGTATATATATATACAGCAATACTACGTGATTCGTATGAGAAATTAAGAATAAAAGTCCCTCTCGTCCTCAAAACAGGTCCTATCAAGATTATCCCCCCAAAAACTAAAATCCCGTTAAATTCCCATAAAATTAATCTCCCATCAACACATATGTATATATATATATAATACAAGGATGAAGCTTCTGGAAAATATTTTTTTACTTTCCTTTTTCCTGCTTTCAATATATATATATATATATATATATATATATATATATATATATATATATATGTATGTATTTCGTGACCGGAAATTGTTCCGAGGGATGCAAATGTCCTTCTTTTTTAGCGCGCACTCTTAAATACACATATATATTCTTGAAATGAAATTTATAACTTTTTAAGAATTTATTTCTTGTTTTTGAAAACGAATTACATTTCAAGAAGTGCGGAAACACTGAATAATCTTCACATAAACACGTTCCTTTATCTGAGAATCAAATTGTAAATTAAATATGTATATATTTGAAAAAAAAATAAAAATTCTCTTTTTATGTTTATTACACTTTAATTTCATTGTTATGATGTTGTTTTTTTCTCTTATTTTAGTAATTATGTGATAAAATATATATATATATAGTAAAGTATTATAATAAAATACAAGAAAAAAAATATTTATCTGAAACAGTAAAAGGTTTCACTATAATAGGGAAAGATTTAGCTGAAACAAGTAAAACTTTTGCTAATATAATGAAATGTTTCGCTGTTTCAAGTAAATATTTTTTTTCGTGCGTGTAATATAATATAATATAATATAATATAATATAATATAATATAATATAATATAATATAATATAATATAATATAATATAATATAATATAATATAATATAATATAATATAATATATTTTTTTATTTATAATTATTTTATTAAAAATTTTAAAATGTATCATTACCATTACTTATAAAAAAAAAAACATTTTTCATCCTCTTGAAAAATATTAACGGTTTTCCGCCACTTGACTTTTAACCGGAAATGACATTGCAAATCATTGACTTTTTGTTTCCCCTTAAATATATAGAAATATATCGTGTAAATAAATAAAATTCTAATAAATAACCAAAAGAGATAAATAATTACGTTAATGATACAAAAAATTACAGGTTAAATGAATTTTGAATTTCCCGCGCTTATTATTCAATTGATTCGAGAAATTAGGTTTGGTTAGGTTACAGATTACGTTAATATAGAGGTTACAATATTGTTGAATTTTTTCCTACTGTTGAATTTAACAAAAAAAAAAAAAAAAAAATTATGGCATTGGAAAACTAAATCGTAAAAATAGTCGAATCTCTCAATGAATATAATATTCGTAATTTTTGAAAAATATATTTTCAAAAATTCAAAGTGAGAAAAACACTTTAACGCCTTTACTTATTCTTATTCATTTTTTTTTTTTTGAGGTTATAAATATGTTTTTTTTTTTCAAAATCAATTTAGAATAAATTTTTCCCTCTCTTTTCTCATTGGAGTCGAATAATTAAATAATACTATTTTAATTAAAAATAATTAAATTGAATTAATTAAATAATAATAATTATTATTGTATTATAAAATTTTTAGAAAATTATATTTTGGTAGTATTTTGGTCGTTGGTCTTCTAAATAAAAAAAAAAAAAACCCACTTTTTTCTACACGTAAAAATTTAAGTTTAAAAAAAAAACAAAATGTTAATTTCAAAAAATTTTCCCAAAACCTATGTCGCCGTCCACTTCTAAACAAAAAAAAAAAAAAAAAAAAAAAAAAAAAAAAAAAAAAAAAAAAAAAAAATCGGTCCTTTCCTGCCTTTTTCTTGAGAGTGCCAACCGGAAATGGTCCTCGAGATCGTAATGAATATTTTTTTTTCTCTCGCTTTTCAGCACTTTTTCATTTCCGTCGAATTTCTTGAATATATGCAATCATACACACAACCATCAAATTCTTAAATAAATAATTCCTAATTTATTTCTAAAAATTCTATATTATATTTTATAAATTGTTATATGAAAAATATTAATTAATATATATATATATATATATATATATATCATTTTTTGCCTTACAGTATAATAAAAATTAAATAATTTAATAATAATAATAATAAACATTTAAATTATTATTTTTACTTATTTAATTTTCACTCGTAAGAGAAAGGAAAAATTATTTATACAATGAAAAAAAATCTTTATCTGGAACAACCCCTCACAGCACCAGATATCCTAGGATATTCTAAAAACATCCCTTGGATATCCTAGGGATACCCCAGGGATATCCTAAGGATACTTTAAGGATATCCAAAGTAGCGGCGGTTAGGATATCCTAGGGATACCCCAGGGATATCCTAAGGATACTTTCAGGATATCCAAAGTAGCGGCGGTTAGGATATCCTAGGGATACCCCAGGGATATCCTAAGGATACTTTAAGGATATCCAAAGTAGCGGCGGTTAGGATATCCTAGGGATATCCCAGAGATATCTAAGGATGTCCCTAGGACGTCCCAGGGATATTCTAATCATTTCCCCGGATATTATTAGGATATCTTCAGGACGTCCTAAGGATATTCCAAGGATATTCCTGGAATAATTAGGGATGTCCTAAGGATATCCACAGTATGTCTATATTATCTTAAGGGTTAGAATATCCTTAAGTCGTTCTAAAAATGTCCCTAAGGTATCCATAAAACGACCCTAACATAAAAATTAATTAAATAAAAATGGAAAACATATTTTTTGGATGTATTTATCATGTATTTCCAAGATATCTAAAATGATTTACCTTGTTTACAAGAATTCGTTTTTCTACTTTTTCTTTAAAAAATCTCTTGAAACCAACTCAAGCGCTAACTATTTGTATCAAAAAATCGCTATCTCAAATAT